ACATATCCCGAAAATGTCATGCCATTCGAACGTTCCTAGCCTGAGATCGAATTTTGAGGGAGGGGGCCTTCGTATGTGATGTAACATGATTAGCACTGGTTCTACATGACAAACGTTGGTTCCTTTACAATGTGAACAGTTTCATTCAATTGAGAATACTCGAAAATTTAATTATTAAATGATAGATATAGAATTAGGAAAACTTGAATAAAGAGTCGCAAACGACTTTTCCAAGCATTGTTGACGATCAATGTTGAGCGTATAGTTTTCAGATACAAGCAAATAAAATTTTTAGATTGATGTAGAGTTGTAGATCTTGAGTTGGCAAATCTAATGAACACTTTAAAGTTAAAATTTCATAAAACTTTTATATCATTTGAGCTTCTACTTTGAATATCATTGGTTGCTTATCAAATTAAGTCTGTGACTTTTTTAACTATGATATAGGAAGATACAGAATATTCACCTCTTTCTAATGGTGAAAATCGAAGACTGATAGCTATTACCGTTAAGGAGTTATTCAAAAACCAATCACCGTTCTTTCATTTTGAAATGGATAATAGTCTTTGCCTAAAAAAGACTTCCTTCAGAATTACTCTGAATCTTTAAAAATAATTGGACATCTAATCGACACTAAAGTAACCCTAGACGCTTCTTATACTCGAACAAGACTAGATAAGATACGTGTGCTGATACTTGTCAGTGGCGGATTTAAGACTGAGTTTAAAGACATACAAGACCTACAGACTAGTCCGGAATAGAGCTTTTTGAAATAAAGACTAGACAAGTCAAACCGACATAACTAGAAATAATACTCAACGTTTATCTCACTACTTGCTCGCAAGGGCAAGAACGAAAAGAACTAAAATGACTGGTGTAACGAAAAATGATGGATAGTGGGTTTCGTTACTACCATAGTATTTATTTTATTGTTGATCAACATTGAGAAATGGACCCTAAAAAAAAAAGGTTTTGTCGGAAACCTATAGAAAGTTTCCGGGTTTGCCACTATATGAAACCCTTTATAGGTTTCCGAGAAAGGGTTTCCGAGCTCTTCGAAACCTTCAAAAGCAATGCAAAAAGCTCACGATCTCGGAAACCTATTGAAGGTTTTCGAGACTTCGAAAATCTTCAATAGATTTCCGGCAGCTACGCACTACCCTTATTCTATCCCCTTATTCTAACCCCTTATTCTATCCTATTATTCTAATCTCTTATTCTAACCGCATAATCTATCCCCTTATTCTAACCCCTTAATCTAAATCCTAATTATATCCCCTTATGTTAATCCCATATTCTAACCACTTAACCTATCCCCTCATTCTAACCCGTTATTCTATCCCCTTATTCTAACCCCTTATTCTAATCCCTTAATCTATCCCCTTATTCTAACCCCTTATTCTATCCTCTTATTCTAATCTCTTGTTCTAACTGCTTAATCTATCCCCTTATGTTAATCCCTTATTCTATCCCCTTATTCTAACTCCTTATGTTAATCCCTTATTCTAACTCCTTATGTTAATCCCTTATTCTATCCCCTTATTCTAACTCCTTATGTTAATCCCTTATTCTAACCCCTTAATCTAAATCCTAATTCTATCCCCTTATGTTAATCCCTTAATCTAACCCCTTAATATATCCCCTTATTCTAAATCCTTATTGTAATCC